CAAATCAAATCAAATCAAATCAACTGGCCCAGTTGTGATTTTGTTTATATGGCCCAAATCTGTCAATAACACAAATGGCCCAGTTGTGGTTTGGTTTGTGAGGCCAAAATCCATCAATGCCACAACTGGCCCAGTTATAGTTTGAAGCTCAGCCTTAGAGGTGAGGTGAGGAGCTCCATCATCCAGGGTTAATTGAGAGGAGGTGGTCCAGGTTTCTCATTAGGATGTCCCCTGAGCTCCTCCTTTAGCAGATTTCCTGGACCGTCTGGCAGCAGACTGTAGGACAGACCAGAACTCACTGGAGGGATTATGTTGCCTCCCCAGGAGGAGCTGGAGTCTGTTGCTGGGTAGAGGGATGTCTGTGTTTTCTTCTGAAACCTGTATATATTTTACAAAAAAAAAACATTCACAACTTCTCCTTCTATATAACCTGAAACATTAAATTTTCTCCCTCAGTTAGACAGTCGGTGTCTGCTGCTCTTATAAAGTTTACTGTCAAGCAGTGACAGACACAGGTGCGGTTACCATGGTGACCATAACGAGCTACTGCCAGCAGCTTTAACATTTCTTTTGATCTTGGTTCCTTTTATTCCTCTAAAAAAAGTTTATGCACCAAAATGCCAGCATATTTTTCTTAAGCTTTGTTTATTTTATTTAATTCCCAGATAATTTTAAATGTCTCTGTGTTAATGTTATCACCCAGAAGGTGAKGGGTGATGATGTTTTTGCTTGTCTGTGAGGCTGTGTGTTTGTCTATGGTGTTAGCAAAATATTTCATGAACCACTGGACAGATTTTAGTGAAACAAAGAAATTATTAGATGTTCATCTTCAGCTGATTACCTTTCAGAGTCAACTCAATTAAAAATGGCTACCACWGTTAATTAATCTTAGCCAACACACAAATGACTCAGCTGGTTTTGGTGCGCGATTGATGAAATCAGCAAACTGGATAATCTCAGGGAGAGCATGATCCAAACTATTGTTTGAGACAAAATTTTAAAAATAAATATGGCCCTTTTTCCATAACTTCAGTGAAGTGGTTTTTATTTTGTACAGACAATATTTACCTATGGAATGCATCTAGTGGGGTAWCACAGTAAAAGCMGGCAGAATGTCACTGACAGGAATATGTGATGTCAGGTTAATATCTGAACATTAAAATAGGCTTATAAAGCCAATGTAATCATTGTTAATGATGATGATGTCTTTATTGTCATTGTACAGAGCACAATGAAATTCCATTTAAGAACACCCATTCAAGAAGACACACACGACAAAAACATGGGGGAACAGGTGATCAGGTCATGCGGCAAACAGCAGGGGTCGCGCTACCTTTAAGAAGAAAAACAAAAATACCACAGAAGGTTAAATGAGGGGGAAAAACATCATATTATGTCAACAAAATATGATACACTATGGTGTTTCTAAAAAATCTACATCAAAGAGCACATTTATTAGCCAGAGGAGTAAGTGAGTTTAGAGAGAATGAGTTCGAAGAATCCAGACTCCCAAAAATTAAATAAATAAATAAATAAATAAATAAATAAAAACCCTGTAGTTCAGCCAAAGTTCAGAATATTGGTGTTGAATTGTTCGTTCTGTGCAGCTCCAGATTGACCTTCAGGGGATCAGATTAAATAGTGAGAGGGGGGAGATGGGGAGGAGCCACAAGTCGACATAAACACCAGGAGAAATTTGATCCACAGCCTTCACGGGTGGGGGAGGGTCTGTAATCAGTTGTTTGGGAACAGAAGAAGATGTTTTAGGTCAGACAGAMAATAACAATTTTCCATCTGCCTTAATGTCCGCTGGTACATCTCAAGGTGGCAAATCCAATCAGACAGATAGTGTGGACAATTCCACCGAGCCAAGCTCTCAGCTTCTCCAAGATCATTTCCATCTCACCAGAAAAGTCCAGGAAACACAGCCGGCCCACAACCCTCAGCAGAACCGCTTGCAGACCACGTTCCAGCTCGCTCAAGGCAACAGTCTGAGTGCTGATAGTATGGCAACCCTTCATATTGGTCAGGCAGCCAGGAAATGAAAAGCCACCAACGTTGTTTTGTAGAACACCAGGAGACCACCAAGCCAGTCTGTAGAGTCCAGTGATCAGAATCCAAATATACAGTATATCCAGAACAGAGGAGAACAGAGGTCCTTTGACATGTCCTCCCATAGAATAAAAATTTGTTCCAAAAATTTATTAAGAAACCAGCTAACCAAATCCATAAAAATAAATCCATAATTTTTGGTTTTGGGTGAAAACGTAGAGGAGGCTCCAAGCAGCAAAGCAGGGAAAGATAAGAGAGGGTAGGAGAGAGGGAAAAAGAATCCTACTCCTTCGAGATCAGAACAAAACACAAAACAAAACAAAAAAATGCTTCTTTAATTGGTTAGCAGGTATTAGATTCTGTAGCATATGGCTATACTGAGTGTAGAACTTTGCTGAGTCATGCTACAATTTAACACAAATTATTTATTATTAAAAGCTGTTTTTGCTCCTGGTTCATGTAAAATAATATTATATATTTGACTTTTGTTTCCAGATTAGACAAACCTGACTCGTTGAGAAAATGGTTAGCCAATATCAGCTTAATCATTCAAAGTCACAGCGGGTATGCAATTAACAACAAGTGTTGATTACACAAATATGTTATAACTAGTTGAAGTCATAATTATTGAACTAGTTTAAAAGTCTCAGTGATTGACWGATTTCATGTCTAGTTTAGATTATAGTTACTTATAAATTACACGTTTTCCTTCTGTCATCTAGCTGTTTTACATTACTGTTGAATGAAATAAACATAAATGACCAATTATATTAATTTATTGTAAAAATATTATGTATTATTTGTGACAGATCCAGTTGGGCTTGCTGTGAATCAAATGGTTGCTATGTTGGCTGTGAGCCAACGGCCTGCAGAGCTGTTCCATGTTGTYACAGATGCTAACAGTGGACTGGACAGGCGGGGCTGACTCTACTGATATTTAACTCTATAGTCAGGACCTACTACACCAACCGTGTCAAATTCATTTACATAACGAGGGCAAAAATTCAAAACTTGGTCCAAGCCTTGGACCAATTCTGTAAATGTTGTTTTAAATGTTGGTTTTACACATAATTTATAATTAATTATTGTAGAAATAAATTTTTATTTTTTCCAAAATGTTTTTTATGTGTTTAAAACATACATACTGTATCCTAACAAATAAAGAAAAAAATATTACATTTACAAATACATATTATTAGCCTTTATTTCTTAGGTCGTACACTTTATTCACCACTTTTTGACTATTACTTAAAGATACATTTTATCACAATGTAGTAAATCATAAAAACCCTCTAAAGTAGAGGAATATAGAATTAAAGTTGACTGCTGTCAAGGAAAAACTGCACTGATTGCAGTAACAGAAAGAGAAACCAGTGATGGGCAGCACTAAACTACAAATTAGTTCCATTATCCCTAAAACACTAACTCAAAAATTTAGGCCCCCTAATTCTAAAGCACTAATGTACTGAAAGTTTTAGCAAAAGCTAATTCTAAAGCACTAAAAAAAACAGTCAATCCATGATACATACATTTTCTTTCACCTCCAGTTGCTAACAGTAACGTTTATCAATTATATTTATAAACATCAGTTAGTGCTTCTAAATTTAGCCTATAAATTTAGCAAAAGCTAATCCACTAATAAATTTTAAAACTAGCAAAAGCCCTAAAGCACTAATCAGGAAATTAGTTCCCTGGTGCTTTAGTGCTTTAGGGGAAATGTGCCCACCACTGAGATAAATGATAAAACTGTTTTAATATATTATCTTTGGGGCCAGATAAAGTATTAACTAGGGCCGTATTTGGCCCACGGGCCTTCAGTTTGACAAGTGTGCACTACTTCATGGTACTTTGGAAGATCAAAGCTTGGTCCTCAGYTCCTCTAATGATGGATTGGGGGTTAGATTTAGGGGTAAGTTAGGCTAAGGGTCAGTGAAATGTAGGAATGTAAGGAATGCAGTCCTCATACAGACATAAAAACAACCGTGTGAGTGTTGTGTGTTTGTGTCAGAGTCAGGGAGGCGGGAGAGGGGGCACACAGACTGTCTCTACTGTGACTGTGCATCACTTCAGATGCTCAGAGAGAATAAAAAAAACACACACACACCCAACACCGCGCTCCTCCGCGTTGTCACCACCAGGGCTGGTGAGCATTTTTTTTGACGAGCCCCGCACACAGCATGGTGCTGCACCGGATTCAGAGCCTCAGCTCCGGTAAGCAGCTCCGCTGAGACCCGCCAGGGACGCCTGACTTTCCAGACGGCAGAGCTCCCAACACCTGTTCACACCTTCACAAAACAAGGTAAGGCGCACATTTAGCGTCCAAACGCGGACAACACGCAGCTGCTGGCCAACATTAAAGAGAGAGAGAGGAGAGAGGGAGAGGGAGGAGAAAATAAAAGGAAACTTCCTCCAGAGTTGCAGAACACCTGCAGCTCGAACGTTTCCTCCTCCCTTTGAAGGTCTCCATCGCGTCTTAAGTTCAAAGCGCGTCGGCGTTTGTTGTTTAACGTCGTTTCCGGTCAGCAGGGGACGTCTCGGTAAACAATGCAGCTCACAGTCACGCGCATCCACCCCTCACGTTCCAGCTCTATGGATTAATCGATTAGTTGTTATGCAAAAGCCACAAACCCATGATTTAATGGGGTGGGGGTAAATAAGTCCGCATAAGTTTTCTGTCTACAGCTGGTTCGTTTTTAACACGTTTTAAATCAAGTGGAAAAAGTGAAGAAAAATTGAAATGTTCGGTTATTATTTGTTTTAATTGATGGAACAGTTTCAGAGCTTTCCCGCCAACTTCTCCCCTTGTTTCTGTCCATCTCTTCCCAGGTGTTGGACAGCCCTCAATAACCCACTCAGACTTTTTAATTTTGGCTATTTTTTCCCCTCTCTCTCGTATCCCCTGTAAGGGCCAAAGTGGATGTAATCTCACACCAGTGGGCTGTTACATAACTTTAAATCTGAAGTGCCATCCCGCCTGCCTGCAGGCGTAGGAGTATGTGATGTTCCCACTTCCTTTGCTGTTGTTTTCTTCGTTAAATTAGTGAGCCACATTACTGGAAGTGGCGTTTTGTGACTTTTCCTGACTGCTGATTTTCAAGGGTGGGGGGGTGTATTTTTTTTCTATTTTCATTTTTTATGCAGATGAGATTCTGGTCAGAAGAGGGATCTTTTAACGTCCTGATTATTCAGCCTACCTACATAACGTCTGTGACTGCTGAGTTTGGCTTGGTAATGTTTAAAGGTGGCATGACCAAATGTGCATATATTTATGTGTTTGTGTGTGTGTGGGGTGGGCTGCTTTCTGCCCTGTGTTGTGTAGGAGGAGTGCGATCGCAGCGCGCCCGAGCATGACGCTCAACGAGCCGCGTTTGGACACAGTTCAGTCCTTCGCCGAGCAGTCTGTCCGCTGCGCTGCGCAGACAGACGTGTTACAGTAACCTGACTCATGGAGATGGCAGCAGGCTTCCCCCATCCTCACTGCAGAGGAACTGTGTCATCATCCCAAACCAACACTCTGCTTCACACYTAAAGCTTTCTCAACCACTTACAGAGACATGGAGGATAGCTGGAAAACAACAAAATTTAAAAAAAAAAACACATCTAGTCATCGTTCCSATCGTGTCTTTATGAGGATAATTAAAACCTGCTGTGAACGTAAGAAATTGTGAGAAAATATGCAAATTTGTACTTGGAATCACACTGAATTGGTACTTACGACGCGTTGCGTAACTGTAAATAAATTGCAACATTCCTGCGAAAGATGTGCATTTTTTGTGCAATTTAGTCACAAAGTGTCATATTTACTGTATTATTATTATTATTATTATTATTATTATTATTATTATTATTATTATTATTATTATTATTATTATCAGTGTGCGTTGCCAATGCAATGCACACTATTGTGATTCGTTTCCCATCCCATCAACCTTGCCATGCTTCTCTTCCTGCATACTTTGTCCTAGAGCTGCCATTGTAATTTATATCTGTAAAGCCCCTGTGCCAAATGACGGCTATGCCTTTTGGTGCCTGTAAAACTTATTAATGTTTAATAAATTATAATGGCAGTCAATGGAGCCTTGTATTGGTCCAATACTGCCCCCTGCTGCATCTACACAATATGGTACTGCACCATAGTTTCATAATATTTAAACTCAGTAGTTCAGTGATTACAATATTAATAYGATTGWATTTTGATGTTTTACTGTAATACTGTCTTTATGTTGTCCTATTGCTGTAATATATTGCACTTAAGTGTCAATAATTGCATTGGCAAGGTAAACTTTTTCTGTATACATACAATCCAATCCCTGGGATTGTCCTCTGCCACATCTCCTATAGTCTCATGATGAGCACTGTGGGCTTTCATGCRGGAGATCAGGGTTCAAATCCAGCTACTGCAACTTTAACAAAAATCTCTTCAAACTTCTTATTGTCACACAATTTCCTTAATTACAAACACCTGCTGATGTGACAGGCACAAGCTGGTATAGAAAACACATTTGAACTTGGTCAAAGTTCATTCTGAAAGTCCAATGCTGCAGGCAAAGCCATGCTGCAATGACATGCTACGTGGCAATGCACACTTGCTTTTACTTAGTAAAAACCCATGTCTAGTTATTATTATTATTACCTCTGCAGGTGGTTATGTTTTTGACACCGTTGGTTTGTTTGTCTGTCCATATTTTAAAAAGTTGTGGACAGATTTTCTTGAAATTTTCAGAGCGTGTTAGGGTCATCATAAAGAACAACTTCATAAGTTTTTGGTGGTGCAACATCTGCCAGAGCCAATCAGCATCCAGCAGAACTTTGTTCCACCAATCTCAATCTCAGCAGCTATGGTTTCCCCTACTTTATTGATCTTGGCAGGGAGCTGGTCAGACAGGAGTGGGGATGAGAGTGTTGTGGAGAAAGCCATACCAATGCCAGTGGTTGTCGATGAGGAGTGGGTGGTTGTAGCAGAGCGCTACATTACTAATGACATGTTGAAGCCATTTATGCTGTGGCTAAATTCTCCACTACCCATCCTTAAGAAGCAGAACTTTCAGAGGTGACGTGGGGTCAGTTTTCGTAGGCAGGCCACTTGGTTGTGTAAACAGGGCGGGGCACCCTCCTTGGATAATACACTGCTAGGGTCTCGGCCGAGGTGTGCACTCTCCAAGTTCTTATAATTATATACCAGTTTGATTAGTGTTATCAGTCATTATTTGGGTTCATAGGTTGTCAATCCCTCCCAAACCACTTCATGTACTCCCTGGGCTGTGACTGCATTGGAGACGGAGAACCTAAAATGTTATTTGCAGCGCTTCTCAGTTTCATCATGTGAGTTGCAGAGGTTTGCAGTCCTGACTCTCGAGTTTTGAATGTGTGACAAACTTCCTCTCAAAATAGTCAGGCGTCACCGACAYGTCTCACGCCTTTCTGAGTTTTGTTGACGGCGTCTCCAACTCATCCCAGGAAAGCTACACTCTAAAAATGAAATGTTGGATTTACTTAACCATGTTATGTTACCTGGTTTCACTTAACTGAGTTGAGAAAATTCAAAGCAACGTACTCATGTTCTTTGGTTAAAAACTGGTATATTGCTTTGAACTTATTCAACTCAGTTAAGTAGAACCAGGTAACATAACATGGTTAAGTAAATCCAACATTTCATTTTTACAGTGTAGAGCCGTGTTTTAACACCTGCACAGGAGTTTTCCCAAGGTAGGAAACAGACTATAGCCCTGAATTCCCAGCTCTAAAAACCTGATAAATAATAATAATATATAATGGAAAATCTGTTCTCTTCAATTCAAAAGTATACACCAGTAGATAACATCATAATTTCCTGCCAAATTGAAAGGTGTTTTATTCTGAACAATTTAAATAAGAGTAGTAACAAATACAGTAACACATGGCACATTACACTGTCACTTAACAAATATGTAATCAAAATACAGATGCTGTATGCACAAAACTAATTCTGTTCTTGTTGCTTTCCTGGAAATTGAGTTAGAAAGCAGCAATAGAGAAACCATTGCATTGCAATTTCAGATTTAATAGAAAAACATTACAAGTAAATCAATAAAAATATATAATAATTGTTATATAATAATATATTATATAATAATAAAATAGTATTTGGGTTTAGCTCCCGTATCAATACTTGTAACTGCATTTTATTTAACATCTCATTAGGTAGGTTAACTTGCATTCTTCAGTCTGTGATAAATTACCAAACTCTGTCATTAAAAAAATCCACAGTAAAATTAAAAAAAACATTGTCTTTGTGTTTCTGTTTAATCTGCTGACGGCGCAATGAATTCTGGGATACCATCGGCCGCGTAGGATACTCAGATGCAGCCAACATTTTCAGGGTTTTGTCGGCCGCCTGGTCAGCTTAGGGCTGTGATAAAAGCGGCCGACAAATATGGCCGACGTCGGCTGCAACCCATAAACTGAAACACAGCAAAAATCTAACTACAAATATAGCTTTGCTAACGCCAAACATGGTAAAATAATAAGTGGAAGCTACAGCTAAACTGCTAATCGCTAACTGCTAAGATGAATGTCACTCAGTCTGCATCACACATCTTCGTCTCCCTACAGCTGAAGACTGGTGGGACTGAAACAGATGTGTTGATGTTAGTTGTTAGCTGATTTAAAGTTGGCAAAACCTAGTTTAGCAGAAGCTAATCGGTCTGCTAACAGTTTTCACAGTTAGTGAAAAAGCTCTTTTGGCTGTTAGCTGATTAGTGGAACTTTTTTTCCTCAGATGTGACCCAAATAGGGATTTTTTTTTTTCTTGAAATGCAGAATGTGAATGGAAAACAGTCTTATTGGGTTGAAAATTTTGAATAAGCTAAATTTTTCAGAATGTCTACAAAACCACTGATTAAGATCAGTTTAATGATTACAAGAACGTCTAGCTGCTTGGATTCAAAATATTAAAAAATGAGCGAAGAATTGAAGACTTTTGCACAGAAGCCTACTGTAAAGAAATTTGTTATTTTTTTTGTATTAGTCAACTTTTCTCACCCAAATTCACACATGCCCACTGTCCCCCTGCAACTAACATGGCAGGCGATTTTTAAATATACTTTTCACTCCTTTYATATCTAAAATTGTTGCAATGGAGACCAAAATCAACAGAAGTAATTCAGTAGATTCATTCTGATTCGAATAAAGAAAGTAAAAGGAAATGTATTCTCTGTTTCTCTAAAATTGTAATAAACATAACCACAAACTTGATTAACTGTCAGACCTGCATAAATTAGATTTTAAAAAAGAGTTTAAATGACTATTTTATCAAACAGA